CACTTAGGCAAGTCTGCCAGGCATACTTGGACTACATGCAACAACTGGGCCAAGGACAACATAGCATGTTGCCCCACGGAGCACTTACTAACTCAACCAACTGAGTTATGCAAGTCAGCCAAGTCTACCAACTACATAACAACAAGGCCGCCCACCCAAGCAGGGCCCTCGCTGACTTCGAGCCAATCCACGCCAGTTAAGGACCCGGTGGGACCACGTGGAGAACACCAAGGCCGAGAGCGTCACAATGAGGTTGAGGAGAAGAAGGGCGAAGGGCTTCGAGTGGCAGTGCCGGGGGTATATCGAGGAGATGGACGAGCTGCAGGGACGCAGGACCCACCTTGGAGCCAGTGGCCCAAATCGCCAAGGCCATCCAGAGCCAGACGGCGGAGCTGGCGAACCTGGTACGGCATCAAGCAGAAGGTGCAGGAGCCCAACCAGCGGGGACCCTACGAGGGCTTGGCAGACAGTCGGAGGAGATGGTCTTCCTGATGAGGGCATGTGGACAGTACACCGTGAAGGTGGGTGAAGGAGAACATGGACAAGGTCTAGCAAACTCCTTGATGGCGGCCCAGGTGGGGGCCTCAACAAAGTTGAGAACAGCAGGGTTCCGCCAAAAAATGACCAGCAGACTCGCTGTAGGGCTAGCTGGCCCGTACTGGGGGGTTCAAGAACGGTACAGCCTCTCGGCGGCGGATTTCCTGGCCTACACGGACGCGGAGTTGGACCAGTTCGCTTCGGAAGCCCGACACCCCAAAGGAGCTGCAGATCAACGACCTCAACAACCCAACCGGTTCGATGAGTGGACAGCCAGGGCCCGAAGGCAAACGGACGTATGGTGCCTTGTCTACGGCGAGGAATGGAGGGGGGTGAGGGCCAACGCATTGGAGTTGCTGTCAGAATGGCATTTGGCTCATCCTCACCGTTGGCCACTGACCATCGTCATGGACATTTGGGAGGAGCTCCATTGGAGGTTCCTGGAGGAGATGAAGGAAGTCCTGCGGGCCCTCAAGAAGGAGATCGGGAGAGAGACGATCACCCTGAACGAGCTCAAGTTCCATGCCCTACTTCCTGGACCAGATGGACAAGCATGGTTGGTTATGCCCTCGACTTTTGACATTGAGAAGCCGGACTCCTGGTTCCAGACGGAGGTACTACCCCGTATTGATCGCAAACAAGACCGGCTGTTGTGGAACATGACGTGGCAGGGTGGCCAACGCAGAGACCGACCACCAAGCGCACCAGTGGGGGGAGCTGCGGAGGAAGGAGCCGGGGGTGGCGACAAGCCCACGCTCAAGAGTTTGTGGGGACCCAAGTTGTCCCCGGAGGAGGTCAATACCGCCAAGGACCGGGCTCCGCAGGACCGCCACGGCAAGTTACTTTGTTGGGGCCATCTATGCCACATCGGCTGTCAAACCCAAGGGTGTCAACGATCGCACGAAGGACTTCGAGGACCTTTCGAAGGACTAGACCCTTGCGTCCAGATGCAGCTTCTTCGCCGGGGGGCTTGAAGAGGATGAAGATGGAGAACCCGGCGAGCGTCACGACCAAGATCAAGGAGCTTCGCGTGCAGATTCAGAAGGACAAGTCGGAGAAGGTCCAGGACGGCAAGAAGAAGGGGAAAGCGGGTGCGAAATCGCCGGAAGGAGAGCCAGCTGGAGGAGCACCCACTAGCCCGGAAGAACAAAGGGGGCGAGCCGGGGGCGAAGGGCGAACTGTCAGGTTCTGGGAGGTCCCGGAAGAGTTCCAAGTGGACTATACCAAGGACGAGGACTTCAAGGAGGTGATGCAGGGCCCGGACAAGGGCTGGCATGCAGATGTCAACCGCCAAGCTCAACCCCATGATGGACGAGGTGGAGAAAGTGCGCCCAGTCGAGCTAAAGAACTAGTTCAGAAGGCACAGGAGTTGGGGACATCCCCTGCCTTACGGGCCCTGGAGGAGGTGTCGGACGACCTGTACGCCTGGGCGGCCGCGCGTGTCGCTCGGGAACCTGATCTGGAGACCAACACGCTCCTTCAGGAGATGGCGACGTATGGACTGGGCGAGATGGCAAAGGAGGCGGCGGACTTGCTGGAGGCACAAGGAGACCAGAAAGCAAGTTCAGCCCGGCTCGTTGTTAGAGACACCCTGTGGGCGCAAGGCCAACCAGGGCAGGGCAGTGTGGAGCTGGACGGACAAGTGTGGAGGGCATGGGACTACCAGGAGGACATCATGATGACAGAGGAACTGGCCTGCCTGCTCAACAGAGCTGAACCAGAGATGGAGCGCAGGCAGTGTGTCACCATTACCCTGGCCGCCATTGCGGAGAGGCATGAACGCGGCAGACGTCCTACAACGGAGGAAGTTCATGCCCGCGCTCAACAGCTTCGTCAGGAACAAGCACGCCTTGCATTGGACGCCGCTTCACTGATGGGAGAGCCGGAGGAGTTAGTGGCGGCGGTCGAGCATGAGATCCGGGTGTATGTGCACGACTTGACGGTCGCCCACCATGAGAAGGACTTCCGCGCCTTGGCCGTGTTCCCTGTGGAAGCCTTGGCAACATGTCGCTTGGTGGCGCTGCGGGCGGACTACCGGGGAGGTTTGGTGGTGGGAAGCATTAGTGGGCCCAACTGGGAGCCCGGGGGATGGACGGCGTTTGCCTTGATTTGGAAAGGGCACATGACGATGCTGGAGGAGCCTGAAGGGTTCGAGGTGGAACAATTCCTGGTCCGCGAGGAGGCTATGGCAACGCCACATTACCGGGGAGGTGTTGGAGGGCGTGGAGAATGTGAATGACCTGACGGTGATCTACCTCGTCTCCAGCTTCGGCTTCAGCGGGTCCCCGGGAGAGCGGGTCGTGTGGGGAAGGGCCACGGAGGAGTTCCATCGAGCGCATCGACCAGCACACCCTAGAAGAGATATGGCCGGGTGCTTCGACGCGAAGGTTCTGGTCGACGACGGGGTTCTGGTGGAACCTTGGGTGGGCTTGAGACCTTGGGTGAGCGCGGAGGTCTTCGAGAAGGGCATCCGGATGCTGTTGGGAGACAAGGCCGTGAACGAGGAGAAGGACCGCATCGAGGGCGCCTTCAAGACCACCCAAACCATTTGGGGGGTCATCATGGACACGGAGTCTGAGACGGCTGCCCTCCCGGAACGTCGCATTCAGAAGGGAGCGCTGCTTCTGGCAGAGCCAGGCTTCGACTTCGGGGACCAGACCGCCACGCTGAAGCAGTTGCAACAGTACCGGGGCATTGTCACCGGCTGGGCATCCGTAGTCCACGGATTGGAGAACGAGCTCAAGGCCGCCGACAAATTCCTGGCGGGGACTGATGGCCACAAGCCGATCCAACCCAAGCTGCGAGGGGAAGGGAGCCCACAGTGGGAGACGCAGGTCGCGTGGACCGATTTGTGGGAACTATTTGAGACGTGTCGATGGTTGAGTGCCCGTACGGACCGGTGGGAAAGCTTCACCACTGGCCTGAAGACGATGCTCCCGGTGATGGAGCGTTTGAGCCTGCCCGGCGAGTGGGAGAAGGTCATATGGGTGTCCTCAGACGCCACGCCCACCATGGTCGGAGCCATTGACTGGACCAACAGGAAGGTGATGAGGGCACCTACGGGACTACTGCGACATTGGGCAAAGAAGGCAATGTCCGACTTGGAGATCACCGAGCAGGACCCCGAGATGGTTATCCACATGGGCGAGATGCTGTCCTTTGTGACGTTCGCTTGCAAGCTGGGGGAGGACTGGAAGCAAGCCGTGGTGCTCTACGCGGGGGACAACACGGTCGTCCGAAGTTGGTTGCAAACCAGGAGGACCCGCACAAGGGGAGGGCGCATTTTGATTCGAGTCCTCAACATGGCGGAGATGAAGTATGGCTTCGTGGTGGTGGCCGGCTGGTGGCGCACGTACCATAACGTCGATGCGGACTACATCACCAGGTGCAGCGAGGAAGAGTACAAGGAGTACATCCAGACCAAGAACCTGGGGGAGGTTGACATTTTGGAGGGCATCCAGCAGGCACTGGAGGACAGCGAACGGTACGGGCCGTGTTTCTTGTGGGGCAAGGAGGACGGGGACGACAGGGCGCTGCAGATCCAGCTCAGAGAAAGGAGGGTGTCCAGACAGGTGCAAAGGTCTGTGAAGGTGCCCTGGGCGAGCTTCGCGGTGGCAGAGTGGAGTGCTCAAGGACGCAAAGTCAGAGACTTTGAAGCTCTGGGTGGAGCCCTTGGAGCAGCGCTGGAGGAACCAGGGGGTCGGCCTACGATCTCATGCGCCACCATCAGAGTCGATCGAGGAGGGCATCATCTACGACGGGCCTTGGAGGACGCGGAGAAGAAGGAGGCATGGGTCGGTCTAGTGGAAGGACCGAGACAGGTGCCCTGGGAATTTGGTGAGCGGTGGTGCGAGCGCAAGGGCTGGGACTATGGCCTCATCGAGTACGTGACCACGGAGCATGGGGAAGCTATGGCGAGGAGGCGAAGAGGCTTGGTGTGGAGCGCAAAAGGTGAGTTGCCAGAGTTCTGGGAAGGCCTTTTGGTCCGCAGCATGGGAGCCTCACCAATGGGCACTGTTCTTCAGGCCAAAGACCACGACGACCCGTGCTGGGTGAAACCCTACAAGTTGGAGCTCGAGAGCGGCATCCCAAGGGACAGACTGCTACCCCAACCGGTGGGACATCTCTGGTGGACACAGTCCGGAGACCGGGAGGTGGTTCACGGCTTGGGGGGACCGTGCAAGTGGCCCCTCATGCAGGAGCCCGGGAGGAGTGTCCAGAAGAGGACCGGGGGGGCACGTACGCCAACTTGAACCAGAAGAGCTATGGCGTCTGCAAGGGCGAGGTGAGGCGGATGTCCCACCAGGCTTGACGTTCGAGGAAGCGGTCATCGAGGGCACGAAAGGCACAGGAGGGCAAACGGCCGCTAACTTGCTCGTCTTCCTGAGGGCAATCCTCCAAGAGGTCGTGGCTGGTCGGGCGCTGGACATCCCGCCCACCAGCAGAGCAGGGATGGCACCCGATCCGGTGGGAGCGGAAGCTCTGGCCCAGCTGCTGGTGTGGCTCCGTAGGTGGAAGAAGGGAGAGTTGGGCAGGAATCCAGCGACCTACGTCCGGGAGTCCGTGAAGGCAGGAGGCTATGAAGGACCTGGTCATGTGGCGCGGCGCTGGGCAGAAGCTTGGTGGTGGTGCCAATGTTGGCCGGGCTTCGATGAGAACGAGGATGAACAGACCTACGTCCCTGAAGAGACCTACGCTGGTGGTCGGCGCAAGAAGGAGAAGGACCCTTCAAGGATCGCGGAGATTGTGGGCGCCCAGACAGTCAAAGATCTCAACAAAGCCTTTGCTCCATTCTGCGGGGATGTGAGAGATCGAGTCGAGGAGTGGCTAGAGGAGAACATCGCCGGGGACAAGAGTCCAGCCACGGAAAGGGCATATGCAGGGGCATGGAGCAAGTGGTGCGCGTGGGCTCGGAGGCAAGGCTGGGCGGACGAGTTCATCCACAGAGCCGCGGAGGTGATCGAGAATGAGAACAAGGTCCTGGCCTACGTAGGGTACCTCGGGTGGCTAGGGGCTTCTCCCAACACCATCCGCCAGCACTTGTTCGCCATCAAGATGGTGCACAAACGAACCGGGAGAGGAGACCCGCTGGAGGGAATGCATCGAATTTGGATCCTGGTCAATGCGCTGGACCGGCGGTCAACTACCCGGAAGCCACGGAGGTTGGGAGTTACCCCGGAGATGTTGGTGTGGTTGGGAAGGACCTTGGTGGACCCCATCCAGAACGAGCAGCACACCATTGCCTATGCGGAGGCGGTCATGGTCACGGGTGCGCTACAGTTGGCTTGGTTCTTCATGCTGAGGGCCAAGGAGTTTGGAGAGTCCAACGGGGTGGACGACGAGATGATCACCAGAGGCTGCGACGTCCGACTGTCGAAGCAAGGAGTGGCCGCAGCAGTCGGGGAAGCCACCGAGGTGTCGCTCTTCTTCCGCAAGACCAAGAACGACCAGCTGGCTTTCGGCGACACCAAGACGCTACAAGCCACGGGTCAAGAGCACCTTTGCCCAGTACAAGCCATGGACCGGATGAGGAAGATCTGGGGCAACCGCTTTCAGGAGGGCCACGCGGAGAACGTGAAGCCGCTGTTTCGTTGGAGCTCGGGTCGAGTCCTACGGAGAGTTGAGATTCAGCATCTACTACAACAAGCAGCAACGGGAGTTGGGTTGCCACCAGATCGGTTCATGAGCCACTCACTGCGGATCGGAGGAGCGTCCGCTTTGTTCCAGGCCACGGCCGACATCGAGCTCGTCAAGAGAGCAGGAAGGTGGTCCTCGTCGGCAGTTCAGAGGTACCTGTTCGATGGTGGCTCTGTGAGCGGCCTGTCGAAGAGGATGGTCAGCCCGGGGGTAGACCAAGGAGGAGGAAAGGGGCCGGGCAAGGGCCAGCGAGGCCACAGAGACTCCAAAAGGGAGTGAAACCAACCAGGTGTGCAACGCCGCCAAAACAAGAGCGAAGGTTGCACAGCAAGGCACACAAAGGTTGGAACTTAGAAGTAAGTGATACCTTTGGGGAGTGGCTGTGCTCGAAGGTTTTTGGCCCAGCGCCTAAGGGTGTGACCCACCCCTCCACCCGGGCCGGGCAAGGGCCAGCGAGGCCACAGAGACTCCAAAAGGGAGTGAAACCAACCAGGTGCGCAACGCCGCCAAAACAAGAGCGAAGGTTGCACAGCAAGGCGCACACAGGTATTTTATAAGTTCGAACTATTTCACTGCAGCAAGATTAAGGTTCTGACATCCGAGTGAAAACGATCTTCAGCTGCGGAAGAAGAAAGAAGTAGTCGTAGTAGGGCGTGTCTTTCAGTAGCAAGCTCTGGGGCTGTTCGATCGCCCAAAAGACTTCACGGCTCATGCACAGCAAGACCAGCAATGCAAATCTGGAGAGGAGAGTATTCGACTGTAGTGTTGGTTTTGAAAATGGATCCCCCATCACATCGTACCCTGGCAACAGTCGTTTGCTTGAACTCCTGCTTACCCACACCAGGAGGCTGCAGGGAACACCTCCCCACAAAAGAGAGCCCGGCTTCAGCCGGAGAACTTGTTTGAGAGCGTAGAGGAATCCCGACCTCGGCGAATGGATACCCTTGCAGTGCACGTGGGTCATGTCCATGTCTCTTGATTGACCAGCTAAAAGATCGATGATCGAGTATCCGCGCACTTTGAGCATATCGTTTGCCCCACCACGGTGGCTCTCGTAGTCGAAGTAGTCCCTGAAGTGTGGCTTACTGCAACAGAGCTCAAGGCCAAAAGGTTTCAACAACTGCACTTTTGAAGGTGTCCGCATTTTGTGGTTTTGGGGTTGCAAACAACCAAACACCGGACACCTCCTCTTAAAGCCTTTAAAGGTCGATACCTTATACGGTGTTTGGTGACATATCTTGGTATCATGTCATTGACGGTTCCCGCTAGGACATCTCCTGTAGGTCTAGAGCTAGTATTGCATGCAAACAAGCGCGCTGAGTAACAAACGAGCGAAGACCACGCTTTCCTGCAGCAGCGCTTGAGGTTGTTGCAGGGAGCCATATGCATGAGAACTCCAACACTGCTGGGATCTCAGAAATAGTCGATTGGGGAACTGCTCGGAAGTGCACTGAGCCCACGGCGGCCCTCAGCGTAGATGCGGGATTCCCCGCTGAAGACTTCGAACAGCTCCAGGTTCTGAGCAGTGAGTATATAATAGCGCTAGCTGTATTTTATATACTCACATGCACGATCATGGAAACCGCTAGCTTTATATAATAGATCTTGGCTCATGGCCCGTCTTGTCAGGGAAGAGCTTGGAGATGTTTGCTGACAAACGTAGCCACAAAGATGAAACCTTGTAGGCTCATACAGTTGTCAAATTCCAGACATGCCTTTACATATGAATTTGTTCTTGGTTCTGAGTGGCTGGCAAGATCAAAGGGGCTCCCAAAAATGCCAGCAAGGCCGCTGAACGGCCAGACAAAGACAACGGGTGCGGGGCTTGGGGCATAGTATAAATCAGGCAATTCTTGGAACAATTAGCGCCCTTGAGATTGCAAAACAGCCTTGATCATATACATATATATATATATTCATGCATGCATATACTCGAAGTTGGAATTCGAATGCAACTTCAAAACTTCCCAGAGACATCGATCTCAAAACTCGAAAGAAGAAGACTCGGGCTCGCTCGTTTGGCCTCTGGCGTCGATGTCTGAGGCAGTGGCCGGTTCGCTCCAAAAGCAGACTCAGATCTATTTCAAGGCCTGTGGTCTGCCTTAACCCTATAGCTAGCTAGCTAGCTATATAGACACATGGCCAGAACGCATGACAAATTGAGCATGTACACTAGCTACGAATTCCTGTCGAGTCTCCGAGCTAGTTCTATAGTAGTAGTTTAGCGTGCCAGCACTAAATGTGTCAGGAACCCCACAGCAGCACCAGCACCAGAACTGCTTAAGGTACCAGTACTGCTAACCCTCGCTCGATATCGGCATTTCCGATATATAGTTGAAGACTGATTGAAACCCCTAGCAGCTGCGTAGCCTGCCAGCAACCAAATTTTGCTTCGTATATTCAATTGGAGAAACAAACAACGAGTGCACAGGTGGCAGATTTCAAGATCTAGACATCATTTGGCTTTCAGGCCGCTGCCGGACTCAAAACAGATGATCAGGCGGTTCAGGTCCAGCTAGTACCACCCAGCCAACTCACAAGCCACTTCCCACCTAAGATTTGCGGGGCGAATTGGATAGTACAGGGATCCTGGTGATACATTCTAACAAATATATTCCAAGCAAGTGCATGTTGTTGTTTGGCCGCGCCACCCCTTCTTCATACCAAATGTTTTCATGCTGATAGAGCACCCACCCTTTCGATTGATTGAAAGCTCTTTCTCACGTACCTTGCCCTCATAGCCGACTGGCACATGGTTCACATAGAAGGTCCCATTGGCCGACCTCATGTATACAAGATTAATGCTAGCCAGTTGGATGAGGTGTACATGTTGTTTTCCTTCTGGAGCATTGAGACACTGGCCTGGGTGCAGAAAGGATCACCCCAATAGACTTGCTGCCTTGAGGAGCATCTTCCGGTGGTTGAACTGTAAAGGACCTGAGGTTTGCATGTTCGTCCATGAGATTACTTTTAAAGATCGAACTTGTCACAGCATGGGTTGAGTGGGTTCATCAAAACACGTAGTCATCAACATAAATATTGAGGTAACTCCAATTGCAGCTCAGGCAAGCACTTCGTAGTGCTTGGCAAATCGGTCGGGATTGCCAGGCATCGAGCTTTGAGTTCACGAAGCTGCGTCACCACCTTGACCGATCGCGAGTTTGACCGAGGACAGATTTGACAATGCATGGGTATGAGAAGTTTCAATTTATACTTTGCACGTTTAAACGCTTTCAATAGGGAGAAGTGCACGTGGTCAATAGTTCAGTTGGCTGTCTGTATATGAAAGGCTATATATATATACTTTGACCTGAATTTGTTAAAAGAAGTGCGGGCAATACTGGGGGCCCAGCTGATGCTGTGTCAACAGTCTTGTCGGCTGACTTGGATGGTACTGCTGGATTAGCCTTGGCCTTGGCCCTGGCCCTCTTGGGCTGAGGTGGGTCGACCACATGCGCATCAGAACTCCCCGCTGTTTTCTCATGATCTTCCTGATCAGTTCGTGGTGTCTGCGTCTTCCTCTTTTTGGTCGGAACCTGTTCTGGTTGGGGTTCACTTTTCTTTTTGGGTTCGGTAGACTGTGGGTCAGTCTTTTGGCACCCTTTCCCTCGCCCTTTGCCTCTCCCTTTGCCTTTTCCCCGACCTCTCTTCACCGGAGGCTCGCACTCCTCGAGCTCCTCATGTGCAGGATCATCAGTCCCTTCCTCGTGTGCCTTCAGAACACTTCGAATCTTTTGCTGTGCCTCCCAACAGGAAAGTCTGAAGAAGTCTCTAACTAGCTAGCTAGCCGGCCCAAGAAGACATGAGTCACTATGAATCCCTAGACAGGTGAACATGATACCTATATAGCTAGCGCTCGTATACAGCTACCAGTCAATCGATCGAACAAAATTGATTATATCAGTTGAAAATACACACATGAAACAATCCTCCCTGGTGGTCGCCACACATCATTTTGATGTCGCCTTGATTTTGGCTCAAGTCCTGCGGAAAAGGCGCGCTGTGCCTGGGTCGGGGCTTGGGAAGCCATACATCGCGTTGCATATCATTAAACTGTAGGATTGCCTGTGTCCTTCAGTTTAACTGGTTAACAGCCTCAAAGCCAGGTCTCACAGAGACCTTCCATATTTGCTTGCATTAGGACCTGAGCCATCCTAGTGTTTGCACCACCGCCACTCGAGTGTCAACTTGTGATCCAGAGCTTAAATCGAGTTGCTAGCTAGGACCCTTGTCTAGACATCTTGAGTGTGATCTCAGCCCATCAGAGTGCATTTCGCGTCAGGTGAGCTGCTCCCTTTTCCGTTGCCGAGTGCGTCCGAGAAGCAGGACTGTTCTTTGCAGCGGGGGTTTTGCCTTGTGGCAACACCGCATCGTAAACTAACCTCCATATTGAGAAAGAATCATCGTACTCTAGAGTTGTGCCTGGTTTGCATTTTGCCAGATCTCCTGAACATTCCTTAGGAAGTCTCGAGTGAGATCCCAAGCACTGAGGTTCGTCAAACGTGTGACACAATCGCTTCGGTCCAAGCTACGCACTAGTTTCACCGCAAGCGTTTGTGGTTTCACCGCGGTCTGCACAGTTTCACTGCGTTCATGCGTTCAAGCCCTTCGGACTTTCGGCGGCGTTCAAGGTCCCCGCGGTTGGTACAGAGTTTGGGTGAGCGCTTGAATCGGGAGACAGAGCAGTATTTGCGGCTCTGTGCAGAGCGTCGGGGTGGTAAGGTCTTTCAGCGGCGTCGGAAGTCCTTGATCCTCACAATCGTCGAGCATTATTTGCAGCTGCTTGAGTTCGCTGTCATTGCGTCTGACAACTCGGCTGCTTACGTTCGTCGGCGGGATCAGGCGTGGGGGGTTCACGCTGCTGTGAAGAATAATCAGCTGCCTAGGAGAGGGGATCCGATCATCCCATCGGCTGCGGACGAGGAGCTGGAATCTGAGTTTGCTGATTCTGTCCGGTCGCCCGCAGACGCGGAGATTGAGGAGGAAATTGAGGAGATTGAAGAAGAGGAGGAGCAGGGTGGTTCTCGGCCGTCTGTAGTGCCGCCTTGGAGGAGTGAGGTGCCACCTTGGAGGCGTGAGCCCGCTGTTCCGCGTGCTCCTTCGGTTGTCAGCGAGTATTCGAGCTCTTCATTCGCTGTGTTGCCAAAGGCGACAGGTGGTGTGCCGAGTTTTTCGCGACTGTTGAGTGCATCTTCAATCAGTGCTGTTCCTCCCAGTGTTCCGAAAACCCCACCGAAAGCAGAAATCATCGCTCCTAAAACGCCACCGAAGGCAAAGGT